AATGTGATCGGCAGGTCTAGGTGGCCGAGCCACTGAGTCAGGAACCCAAGGCTCGCTCCATACCCTCGTATCGCGGCCTGTTCCAATTGTTCTTCGTAACCCCGACATAAGTAAAGGTCTTGCTGCCATAATACTGCGCCAACCATATGAGGGTGAGTATGTTCGTCGATCTTCCAGGGGAGAAGTATTGTTGTAATATCTTCCTTTTAAGGTGCGTGCCAGTAAGGAACTCGGATACTGGATCAAACGCCATAATTGTTTTGCAAGAAGTGCTAAATTGAAATCATGGAGATCTCGAAAACCTAGACTTAGTTGTTGATTAATTATGGTAGTAATTTAATCACTTACAATTATATATTTACAATATTCATGTACACAATATTATTTAGAAAATTTGAGAGTTCACAACGACATACCAAGACAAGAATACAATTATTTAGAAAATCAAAACTATCAGCACAATCTGAAATATAATTTATATACAGAAATTAAAAACATAAACTATGAAATAAAGTTGTAATATATATTTTTTTTTTTAAATATTACCTTACGAAAATAATCTCGCACTTTTAAAGCGTGGATCAAAATCTAGTTCACCTTTATAGTAGAAAAACATTTAGTCGGCAACCGTATGTAAATAGTCAAATATTGTGATAACTTTTCTTTTGAAAAATCTTGTGATAAATTTTGTTATTGAATTTGGATCACAATGTTAACAATTTTCTAATCTATTTCTTTAAGAAAGTATAATTTTATTAAGTTATATTATATTAAACTAGTAGAGCTTGAAAATAAAAATTTATGAATTTATTATATTTATTTATTGAGTCAATACTAATTTATAAATTTTAAACTGTAATTATTCAATTTTAACTATGGTACCAAATGATTGGTCTCATCAGTAACAAAAACAAATTACATAATTTTCAAAACCAGATTAAACTGTTATCCTAACTTGTCATTCACGTTAGTAATCTTACAGAAAACTAACATTATTATAGTTGAACTAGAATATTTTATAAGACTAGTTGCATACTCCCCGCGCAAGCGTGGGGCTGGGATCATTGTGTTTGCGTGTATTTTTTTTTTGATTGTTGCTTTAGTGGATTCTTCTAATGACACCAAATAATAATGAAATGGAAAGAATGTATAAGACTGTAAAGTGAAACTATTGTATATATATTGTGTTAATGTTATTTATATGCGAAATAAGGTTTATAGGAATAGTTAGGCTATAATATAGTTTTAGTGTGTATAAGTAGGTGTATATTTTTTTTATTGCTGTAAATAGTTTTTATATCTTAGGTCAAAATTTGATATAATTATATATTTATAGTATTTATCAATTTGAAAATAACATTAATTAAGTTAATATTTGTTGTTTAAGTTTCATTAGATAGGTTTTTATATATGGTTTTTTGTAAGTTTGAGTTTTGTTCATAAATGATGTGGCATTTTTATCTATGGCATCATACTGTGGGAATCCATTCGCCGGAGTCTGGAGTCGGTGGTGAGGAATGTTTTCAATGAAATTATAGTAGTTATTAAAATGTAAGAGAATTTACATATTCATTTAATAAATAACGAAAAGTACTTAAATTTTGTTGTTTATTTTATTTTATTTCACATACAAATTTTTTTATATATTAAGAATGTGTTAATGTTTTTATATGCAAAGTGAGGTTTATAGGAATATAGACTATAATATATTTTTTAGTGTGTAAAAGTAGGTGTTTTTTTGCTGTAAATAGTTTTTATATCGTAGGTCAAAACTTAATATAATTTTATGTATATAGTATTTATATTTTTATTAAATGATTTATCATTTTGAAAATAACCTTAATTAAGTTAATATTCGTTGTTTAAGTTTCATTAGATATATTTTATATATGGTTTTTTGTAAGTTTGAGTTTTTTTCATAAATGATGTAACATTTTTATATACGGCATATCGACTGTGCGAATCCATTCGTCGGAGTTTGGAATTGGTGGTGGGAAATGTTTTAATGAAATTATGGTAGTTATTAAAATATAAGAGAAATTACATATACATGTAATAAATAAGGAAAAATCATTAAGTTTTGTTGTTTTTTTATTATATCTCACATACAATTTTTTTGAAAATATATATTAGGAAATATGTGCAATGATTTAACTTTTTGAGCTCTTTATCTATATTATTCAAGCCTCATTAAGCCATCCACGTAGGCAGCCGCATGGGACTCTTTTTTTGTTTTTTGTCCCGTTCGTTTTTGCATCCATTTTTTATTATTTTTGGGTTGGGCTATATAATAATATGACAGTTTTAAGGCTCTTTAAGCCATCCGCGTAGGTAACCGCGTGGGACTTACTTCTTTTTTTTTTATATTGTTCGTTTTTGGATCCATTTTTAACTATTTTTGGGTTTGAACCTGTTAAACTTTAGAGTTTATCCAACTATTTTGATCTTTAAAATAATAAGCAAAAAAAAACATAAAAACCCTATAAACAAAAAGCCCATATGATAATATTCCAAATCAAAAAATCAAAAATAGATGATAACAACGTGGTTTGAACCCACGATCTTGCAGGCTTAGTAAGACACCTTATACCACTCGGCTAAAGTGTATTTCATTATTCCTAATCATCTTACCAAGACTATAGCTTTTTAAAAAATACTTATGGGACCCACAAAACTGCTGACGTAGCGCGCTGTGGAGCCTAGAAATTGTACTATTATAATATAGATTATTATTATTATTATTATTATTATTATTATTATTATTTGAGGACATCCTCCCTTTTGCGGTGGTCGTGGCCCAGTCCGTGATGAAGGTCAGCAGTGAGGTTGCGTCGCAGATGCTATGAGAGACAGAGACTGAGACCGCCACTCCAGATCCCGATCCGAAGAAAGTAACCTTGACCCTCAACAAAGGCCACTCCGTGGGAGAATCTCCAGGGGCCATTGTCGGGTAAAATCTCTCCAGGGAGCTAGCGTTGACGTCTTTCAGCAAGTCATGGAGAAGGAGATCGGTGCGTGCCTCAGTGAAGACGGCTCCTTCGTCGTTGCAGCTGATGGTGATGCCTTATCTTCGTCCAGCGAGTGGATAGAAGCGCGACAGAGTCTGGGACAGTGAGCTCTTCAGTTTCACGGAGATGATCTCTGGCGCGACATCTTCATCATCAGTTTCGTAGAAGAAGATCACGGGCACGTTAGCTGGGCTATTCATGAGATCCAGCAGGGAGAGTTGAAGACGATCATTAGTTGAAGGTGTAGCAGGCTTGATCACTTCTCTCTCTACTTCTTCCATTTTCATTTCCCTCTAGCTCTTCAAAAGTCAACAGGTATATGCTTATGCTTAGGGGAGAGTATCGTCGATAGAATTGAAGCAACGCATCTCATGACTTGCATATATAGAGATATTCATTCTAGTCAACCCCACAAAGTTAATAAGTTTATGAGCAGGCAACCATCTACAGTGTTACAATTTTTTAAGACACTCCTTTTATATTTTTAACATTCCACGTTATATTTTATTTCTTTCACCTAATAAATTTAGGGTTTATGAACCTTAGGGTTTAGATTTAGGGTTTTAGGGTTTGGAACCCTAGGGTTAGGGTTTTAGGGTTTAGAACCCTAGGGTTTAAGGTTTTTGGGTTTGGAACCCTAGGTTTAGGGTTTATGAACCTTAGGGTTTAGATTTAGGGTTTTAGGGTATGGAACCCTAGGGTTAGGGTTTTAGGGTTTGGAACCCTAGGGTTTAGGGTTTTTGGGTTTGGAACCCTAGGTTTAGGGTTTAGGGTTAGTGTTTGGAACCCTAGGGTTAGGGTTTTAGAGTTTGGAACCCTAGGGTTAGGGTTATAGGGTTTGGGTTTAGGGTTTAGAGTTTGGAACCCTAGGGTTAGGGTTTTAGGGTTTGGAACCCTATGTTTTAGGGTTTGGAACCATAGGGTTAGGGTTTAGAACCTTAGGGTTAGGGTTATAGGGTTTAGGGTTTAGGGTTTAGGGTTATAGGGTTTGGAACCCTAACCCTAGAGTTAGGGTTTGGAACCGGTTTTAGGGTTTGGAACCCTAGGGTTGGAACCCTAGGGCTAGGTTTTAGGGTTTGGAACCCTAGGGTTAGGGTTTTTAGAGTTTGGAACCCTAGGGTTAGGGTTATAGGGTTTGGGTTTAGGGTTTAGGGTTTGGAACCCTAGGGTTAGGGTTTTAGGGTTTGGAACCCTATGTTTTAGGGTTTGGAACCATAGGGTTAGGGTTCAGAACCTTAGGGTTAGGGTTATAGGGTTTGGAACCCTAACCCTAGGGTTAGGGTTTGGAACCCTAGGGTTAGGGTTTTAGGGTTTGGAACCCTACCCTAGGGTTTGGAACCCTACCCTAGGGTTAGGGTTATAGGGTTTGTAACCCTAGGGTTAGGGTTTTAGGGTTTGGAACCCTAGGGTGGGTTTTAGGGTTTGGAACCCTAGGGTTTTAGGGTTTGGAACTCTAACCCTAGGGTTAGGGTTTGGAACCTAGGGTTAGGGTTTTAGGGTTTGGAACCCTAAGGTTAGGGTTTTAGGGTTTGGAACCCTAAGGTTAGGGTTTGGAACCCTACCCTAAGGTTAGGGTTAGGGTTATAGGGTTTGTAACCCTAGGGTTAGGGTTTTAGGGTTTGGAACCCTAGGGTTAAGATTTAGGGTTTGGACACCTAGGATTTAGTTTAGGGTTTAGGGTTCGGAATCATATGGTTTAGTTTAGGGTTTTAGTGTTTGGAACCCTAGGATTAAGGGTTTATGGAAAAAATGATGCAAAAAGTGAAGGTAACAAAAATAGTAAACCCGTCATATTAAACACGTCATAGTAAACCCAACAAAAATAGTAAGCATTAACATATAGCGAACAAACAAAAACAAGATAAACACGTCATAGTAAACCCAACATGAAATGTAAAGAGAGTGAAATGCAATTTATTAAACCATGCGTGGCACAAAATGGGACGGAGAGTCAAGGCAATTAATTTTTTCCACATGGTAAGATGTGATTGGTTAGATCAAGACCGGGGGGTTTAGAACGGCATAAGAAAGAAGGTCCTGGTCACGGAGGAAGATCGGGATATCTTGCTCGGGTAAGCTTATCCATGCTTCTACACTTGCACCATCTTTTGAGTCAATGAGGCATACATATGCAATGTTGTTATATGTCGAGGTAGATCCAACCCATGCAGGAGTACCCCAGCCAAAGTCAACCTCGTAGAAAGGTTTTCTACACCAGCTACTCATTGAGTACAAGTCTGTCTCTGGCGTGAGACTTGACGCGAAATCTCCAATGACACGCATTAAAGACTGACCAAGTGTGTTGCCTTGGAGATTCTCATTAATCATCTTGTTGACTGATTCCTTGGCCTTGCGAAATTCGGCAACCGTTTCACAGATTTCTAAGTCGAAACTGCTGCTGCTTTCCACGCCTCTCTTAAGAAGGAACATTGTCTGTAGGTTTCCGATGGAGAAAACATCCGTAGAAGGGAACCCTAGAGCGCAAATCCATTGGTTGAAGCATTAACGTTGACCTTGGAGACACCAAGTTAGAGCACCAGGCATTTCTGGCGCATGTCCAAACAAGTGACATGATAACTTCCACACGTGTAGGTGCGGGGACACCTGCTCCTTCGACCTTTCGTTTCAGCTCTTCGATCTTATAAGATTCGAAAACAAACCTATTCATTACACACTTCCCCAGTGGACCGACAGTAGGTAGGGACCATAAAAAGGAGATATCAGGAGGAGGGTAAATGGTCGTCTCAGCAAAATGAATCGTATTATTATTACTAGTTGCATACTCCCCGCGCAAGCGCGGGGCTGAGATCATTATGTTTGCGTGTATTTTTTTTTATTGTTGCTTTAGTGGATTCTTCTAATGACATCAACTAATAATGAAATGGAAAGAATGTATAAGAGTGTAAAGTGAAACTATTGTATATATATTGTGTTAAATGTTATTTATATGCGAAGTAAGGTTTATAAGAATAGTTAGGCTATAATATAGTTTTAGTGTGTATAAGTAGGTGTATATTTTTTTTATTGCTGTAAATAGTTTTTATATCGTAGGTCAAAATTTGATATAATTCTATATTTATAGTATTTATATTTGGATTAAACGATTTATTAGTTTGAAAATAACCTTAATTAAGTTAATATTTGTTGTTTAAGTTTCATTAGATAGGTTTTTATATATGGTTTTTTGTAAGTTTGAGTTTTGTTCATAAATGATGTGACATTTTTAGCTATGGCGTCATCGACTGTGGGAATCCATTCGCCGGAGTCTGGAGTCGGTGGTGAGGAATGTTTTCAATGAAATTATAGTAGTTATTAAAATGTAAGAGAATTTACATATTCATTTAATAAATAACGAAAAGTACTTAAATTTTGTTGTTTATTTTATTTTATTTCACATACAAATTTTTTTATATATTAAGAATGTGTNGTGAGGAATGTTTTCAATGAAATTATAGTAGTTATTAAAATGTAAGAGAATTTACATATTCATTTAATAAATAACGAAAAGTACTTAAATTTTGTTGTTTATTTTATTTTATTTCACATACAAATTTTTTTATATATTAAGAATGTGTTAATGTTTTTATATGCAAAGTAAGGTTTATAGGAATATAGACTATAATATATTTTTTAGTGTGTAAAAGTAGGTGTTTTTTTGCTGTAAATAGTTTTTATATCGTAGGTCAAAACTTGATATAATTTTATGTATATAGTATTTATATTTTTATTAAATGATTTATCATTTTGAAAATAACCTTAATTAAGTTAATATTCGTTGTTTAAGTTTCATTAGATATATTTTATATATGGTTTTTTGTAAGTTTGAGTTTTTTTCATAAATGATGTAGCATTTTTATATACGGCGTATCGACTGTGCGAATCCATTCCTCGGAGTCTGGAATCGGTGGTGGGAAATGTTTTAATGAAATTATGGTAGTTATTAAAATATAAGAGAAATTACATATACATGTAAAAAATAAGGAAAAATCATTAAGTTTTGTTGTTTTTTTATTATATCTCACATACAATTTTTTTGAAAATATATATTAGGAAATATGTGCAATGATTTAACTTTTTGAGCTCTTTATCTATATTATTCAAGCCTCATTAAGCCATCCACGTAGGCAGCCGCATGGGACTCTTTTTTTGTTTTTTGTCCCGTTCGTTTTTGCATCCATTTTTTATTATTTTTGGGTTGGGCTATATAATAATATGACAGTTTTAAGGCTCTTTAAGCCATCCGCGTAGGTAACCGCGTGGGACTTACTTCTTTTTTTTTTATATTGTTCGTTTTTGGATCCATTTTTAACTATTTTTGGGTTTGAACCTGTTAAACTTTAGAGTTTATCCAACTATTTTGGTCTTTAAAATAATAAGCAAAAAAAAAACATAAAAACCCTATAAACAAAAAGCCCATATGATAATATTCCAAATCAAAAAATCAAAAATAGATGATAACAACATGGTTTGAACCCACGATCTTGCAGGCTTAGTTAGACACCTTATACCACTCGGCTTAAGTGTATTTCATTATTTATAATCATCGTACCAAGACTATGGTTTTTTAAAAAATACCTATAGGACCCACAAAACTGCTGACGTGGCGCGCTGTATAGCCTAGAAAATGTACTATTATAATATAGATTATGTATTAAAAAATCATATATTTAGACAATTATTATATTTTGGCAATGCTCATTAAAAAATTATAAACTCGTATTACATAATTTACATTTTTCATCTATGCCATAAATTATTCACGGAAAACCTTACAAATTTTAATAAAATTGATCATATTTCAAAAGAGTGTGTAATAAAATTAAAGATTTATTTATTTTATGAATTGTTGAATAAATTGTGGTCAAAATTCAGTGAAATATTTCTTTTGCATGGTCAAAGATTACTTTTTGTATATTTTTATCTTTATGTCTAAATAAAGTATATATCTAATAGTAAGTAAATATTTTATGCTGACCTTGTGATTACTATTAAAAATATAATAAATCAGGTATTTGAAACATTATAGACTAACATATAAATTTTTTTCTCTTTGTTTGGTCAAAGACATTTTTTATTTTTTATTTATATACAATAAATAATCGTGTCAATCTAATTGTTATTTTCTTGGGTGTCATACTATATTGAGAGATTTTCTTAGCTTTTACAAATACATTTTGAAAGATTTATTCTGAATCAAATTTATTTTTCAATGTAGGCAAAAACAGAAGAAAATTTGAGTGGACAGTATTAACGTAACGTATAGAAACGTGGCTTATATATTCAATCCACAAGAAGAACACAAAGATCACGAGAAAACACTTGAAGAATCCAAATTTACAAAAAAAAAAATGATCATGATACTTCTCTTATGCTTGATAATTTTCATTACCATTCTCTTCATAAATCAGAAGACATGTAAGAAAATCAACACATTCCCATCACCACCAAGACTTCCTTTGATCGGTAACATGCATCAGCTCGGCAACCATCCTCACCGATCACTACTCTCTCTCAGCAAACGTTATGGAGACCTCATGCTCCTCCACTTCGGCACTGTCCCCGTTCTTGTCGCCTCTTCCGCCAACGCTTCTGAAGACGTTTTGAAGACGCATGACCGCGTCTTCGCGAGCCGTCCACACTCCAAAATCTACGACAAGCTTCTCTACGGGAGCCGTAACATGGCATCAGCACCTTACGGAGAGTATTGGAGACAGATGAAGAGTGTGAGTGTCCTCCATCTCCTCAGCAACAAAATGGTACGTACCTTTCAAGAAGTGAGAACACAAGAGATCAGTCTGATGATGGAAACGATAAGGAAACACGGCTCTTCACCGATGAATATAAGCAAGATCACGACTACTTTAACTAACGATGTTATATGTAGAGTTGCTTTGGGACAAAAGTATGGTGCTGGAACAGATTTTAAAGAGTTGATAGATAGGCTTATGAGGCAGTTAGGTACGTTTACTCTCGGGAGTTATGTACCGGCACTTGCGTGGATTGATTGGATTTGTGGTTTGGAGCGTAAACTGGAGAAGACAGCAAATGATTTTGATGAGCTCTTGGAGAAAATTGTTCAAGATCATGAAGATGGAGCTGGTGATAAGGCTGACTTTGCTGATGTATTACTTGGTGTTCAGAGAAACAAGAGTGTTGGGTTTGAGGTCAGCCGTATGAGCATAAAGGCTATCATCTTGGTAATGGAAAACAAAAAAAAAAAATCGAATTCAGACCAATAATTATTTTTATATAGGCAAAATATTTTTTGAAACTTTTATGTATATAGCCAATTTTTCTAGCTGATTTTCACATTTCTTGTTTGTTTTTTTTTAACATTTCTTGTTTTTGGTTTTCACCTTTTTTTTAGGATGCTTTTGTGGGTGGTACAGACACATCCTCCACACTTTTGGAATGGGAAATGCAAGAGCTTCTAAAGAACCCAAAGTCTCTAAAAAGACTACAACAAGAAGTCCGTACCATCTGTAAGGGAAAATCAAGAGTATCAGAAGACGACATTGAAGAAATGGACTACTTAAGGGCTGTGATCAAAGAGACACTCAGGCTACATCCTCCAGTTCCATTGATGGTTCCTCACATATCAATGGAAGATGTCAACTTAAGAGGTCACAACATACCAGCTGGTACACAGGTTATGATCAATCTTTTTGCGGTCGGGAGAGAGGTTGCAACTTGGGGACCAGATGCGGATGAGTTCAAACCTGAGAGGCATTTAGATTCGCTTGCTGAATTTCGAGGCCAGGATTTTAAGCTGATTCCGTTTGGAGCAGGGAGAAGGATGTGCCCCGGAACATCATTTGCTGTGGTGTTGAATGAGGTGGCTTTGGCTAACTTAATGCTTGGATTTGATTGGAAATTTACAGAAGATCAGACTGAGACCGATGTTTCTGAATCAGTTGGTGCTGTGATTCGCCGCAAGAACCCTCTTTATGTCATTGCGTCACCTGCTACTTGATTAAGGGCACTCTATATGATGAATGCTTTCTATTATCTTATGTTTAAAAATAAAAATGTTTTTATTTTATTTTAAAGTTGTACTTCTTTCTAACATTACTCAAATTGGTAGATCATCATATAATATTTATTTCTCTTACATATGACTATCACCCTGAGGCCATAACAAAGTTGTTATGTATCAGATGCAGCTGCTCAATTAGTTTAAGTTTTGAACAAGGACAGTGAATGTTTTGTTTCATCGCAATGATTTTGAAGCTCGTAAGTCCCAAGTAATCGTGTAACATGTCGTTTATGCTGTATGACATTTCACAAATCTTTTATATAATATAAAACCAAGAAGCAGCAAGAACAACGTATATTAATTTATGTACACAAAATGTAGCCAAAGCAAAGTTGAATAGAAAAACTCAACGAAGAAGAAATAAGTTTGCAACAACATCTTATAATGAACAAAGATTGAAGACTGCTCCACACACCGGTTCTGCTTTCCTTATCATTGTGTTCTTCAAAACCTAGCCAGGACCAGATTTTAACGGAAGCAAAGCCATTTCTTCTGCAAACATATAAGAACCTTTTAAGTATTCTACTCTTTGACAAGATTGGGTTTTGTGGGGGACGTACCTTTTCTCGTGGGATATGAGAATTACGTTTATTATGATGGCTTTGGTTTTGATGGCTATGATGGTTGTTGTTTTTCTGATGAGACTCATTGTTTGTTGGAGGTATAACAAGACTCTCAGGTGCTGCAACAGCTGTTTTCTTGGTCTTCTTGTCGTCACGGGCATTGTTGAAAATGACGGTGAATCCTTGGGCGGCGCCTGGATTATTACTCGCGTCCCATTCCCCAAACTTTGGTAGTTGTCTTCCTCTATTTCCCTGCAAACCGCCAAAATAAAAGATAACCCGTAAGAATAGATTTGTTCATCACGAAAAAATGATAATAGCCTCTCTTGATAATCCAAAGTTTTGGGACTTTTTTCATGATAAAGGAATAGAGATTGTATCAAAATATGAAGATGTATATTGTTCTTACCGTTGCCATTATCGATATTAGAATAGATGTTTCTGGTACGAGCAGAGGCAGGGAATGATGATGATCTGGGAAAAAAGGAAATGAGATTGTAATATAGAGGAGGAAAGAGGAAGACCACGTCGTCCATGTGAAAACAGCAACAATCTTTTTTTCTTTTCTTCATACATACCTTTCTCTTTCCCGCGGCTTTCCCAACAGAAATAACTAAACTAAATTAGTAAATATCAAAAATAAATGAGCATATTGTTGAACAAAGACTAAAAACATGGAGCATGGCAAAAATCCAGCAGCCTTTAAAGATTTTTTGGGATTTGTTAGGTTGGTAGTATTTTTTTTTTTTTTTAACACAACTAATTCATTCATTGATTGAAATCAAATTCAAGAGTTTGATACAACCATATTACATCAATACAAGAGTTGGTAGTATTTATTTTACGGTTTAAGCATGGTATTTTATTTTTTATGAATTATAGGCATATGCGTTAATTATATATTTTTCTTCTAAAAAGCACATGATTTTTTAATTAAGTGATTTGTTGACAATTTTAGGCTAAAACAATTAGTCTGTGGAGTGCATTTATATTTTTGGCGTTTTAAGTGGAAAATGTATACAAGCAAGGTACGACCAATGAGTTTTTTATACTTCATCAAGTGATCAGTGTTATTTTATATTTTATTCAATTGTGAGTTTAATACATTGATGAGCAAAATAAGTTGTTTTCTATAAAATTGCACACCTCTAGAATTAATATGTTTTAAAATTAATTATTCTTTATGCTATTTTTTTCTTTTTGACCTTAACTAAATTGTTTTTTACTTTCCAATTTAAATGGTCAAATACTAACAGCGTAATTCAAACTTGAAAGCAAAGTCAGAGCCCAACTTTACAGACCAAGTTCTTATTCAAAAAACTTAAACTGACCGAGTAGGCAATAAAACTAATGGACAATATCACTTTAAAGAGCGAACAATTTTCTGTTTGACAGATCCTTTTGAATACAAAAGATTAAAGAGCATTTATAGAAATTACCCAATACGGGTTCGTAGATATGGTCGAAAGGTTTCCGTATTGGTCCTGCCATCGACATGGCACTGAGAATCCATCTGTGATACGTATTGCTTCGCTGTTCTGTCAAATATTCTACCATTTATTCTCAATAAATTTATTATTTTAAACTACATGGGATAATGTCATTATCACTATTTCGTTTTAACTAGCTCTTCCAAGTTATTTTTATAGTATTAATTGCTTTTTCTTGTATAAACTATAGTTAATAAAAATAGTCCACCTGTTATGATATGCAGTATACTTCCATGATTTTATCAAATTTTGTAATATTCTCTCGTGCCTTGTATACATTGATATACCACAAGCACAAATAAGTAACTTGGCCAACTAAAAACGTACTTATAAAAAAAAATGTAGTAAAAAAGTTTCAGCACAAGTAGATACTTCCACATCCTCATTAACCAACCTTTATACCACCAGAACTATCGAAAATTTATCTACACAATTGGTCCCTAAAATTATTATTCATAAAGGAGACCCCCAAACACATGTTTGATCAGTTTATATCAGAAACCGGAAAAAGATGTTAATATATATAATGAAACTAGGTGTTGTGTCCGCCATACGGACATAATATTCTTATAAATATCAATCAACATAATAAATTATTATTTTTGCTTTCTCAAAAATAAATATTCTTTATGTTCTCAAAAAGTTTAAATCAAATTATTTATATTTGATAAATTTTTTTATCGAAATATATATTGTACCCACATATTTTAGGTTGAAATTTAAATTAAAAAACCCACATATTAGAAATATTTTAAAAAATATAATTATACAAATGTTATTGATTAAGTAATATTTAATTTAGATTGTTTTATATTTATATTTTTAATTTTTTAATAAAATAATATTATTTTCAGATAACAACACAATATCTGTAAAACTTATCTTATTTTTGTAATATGTATTAGTTTGAAAATTATCATAATCAAATTTTAAATGTTTGTAATAGAAAATATTATTTCAAGATGACAACACCATATCTATAAGAATTATCTTATTTTTGTAATATGTATTACTTTGAAAATTATCATATTAGTTTATAATGAATAATCTAATATAACATATAAATCTAATATTATTATTATAAATTCTTTTTTAATTATATAATAATTTATATAAAATTCATTAAGGGTATAATCGATATTAACCACTCTAACTTTCAACGTGAGAGCTCCGTTGCGAAAAATCACTTTGCAAATAATAGTATGGATACATTTTGAATTTAAGAGCATCTCGCGCGGATGGATAATACTCATAACGTTTTTAACTAATAAAATAGGAAAATAATAAGAGGGAGTGAAAGATGAATATCTCAAACAAGGTACATTGAGAATTCTATTAGAATCTCCGTAAAACACATGCTTGTATATAATGGATCTAGCTTTTATTTAATTACTGAAGTTTAATTAAATAACTAAATTATGTTAATTATTAATTACTTTCTGTGTAAGCACATCAAAATAGGGAAAAAGGTCTTTTTCGACCCTAACATTTTCTATCGCGCTTTTTTATACCCAAACAAATCATAAGTGCAAAACCATACCTAAATTAAGAATTTATTTAAATTTTCGATCCAAACTTCAATCTGTTGTATGGAAATCTACCTTGACTAACACCACATTAGTCAACCGTTATGTATGGTAAAACAACATCGTTTTGTAATGGAGCCTTAAAAAATTGCACCTCCTAGAAATCGAACCATAGTCCCGTGGATATAAAATAAACTCACTTACCAATATACTACAACAGTTCTATTGTTACATTAATAGATTTAAAATATTTATATTTTGTCTTTGTATATTTACGGAAATAAATATTCTTATTTATAAAATTTATTTAGTACAAGTTATAATTGCATCAAGAATTTATATATTTTAACTTCTTACATTCTTACACATGTAATAAAATTGTGAGTGCATCAATAATTTGGCTTAAAATTGTAATTGCATCAATAATTTAGTTTTATTACATGTGTAAGAGTGTAAGAAGTTAAAATATATAAATTCTTGATGCAATTGTAACTTGTTCTAAATAAAATTTATAAACAAGAATATCTATTCCTGTAAATATACAAAGCCAAATTATAAATCTTTTAAATCTATTAGTGTAATAATAGAAATGTCGTAGTACAGAGATAAATAAATTTGTTTTATATCCGTGGGACCATGGTTCAATTCTCAGGAAATGCAATGTTTTTAGAATTTTCTCCATTACAAAACGACTTTGTTTTACCAAACATAACGGATTACAAAACAACTTTGTTTTACTAAACATAACGGCTAACTAACGCGGTAATAGTTGAAGTAGGTTTTCATACAATGGATTGAAGTTTGGGTCAAAATTTTCAATAAATTCTTCGCTTAAGTATGATTTTGCATTTATGATTTGTTTGAGTATAAAAAGACGCGATAGAAAATATTGGGGTCGAAAAAGTCCATTTTCCCCTCAAGATACTTGCTGATAAGGATACTCTTTTAGGGCATGATTATTGGTAGGACAATAAAAAATTCCTTAGCATATATTACTAATTTTTTTTAAGTTTGGGACAAAGGTTAAGGACTTTTGTAAGTTTGTAGATTATTGGTAGGACAAAAAAAGTCCTTAAAATATTTTCCTTAAAATAACACAGCTTTACAAGTGTTTCTGCAATCTATCTTTTTGCTAGACCGTTGTCTCCCATTGCCATTGCACATTCGACATTTAGCAGTTTTGATTTTGCCATCACCGCCACATTTTGAGCAAGTCGAAACCTAAATATATATATCACAAAATTCTCATTTATCTATAGCACAGCACAAGTCACGGGAAATGAAAGTTTCAATTATAGGAATAGCAGTACCTGAGACATGATTCCAAAGGGTGTTCTCTGAGTTTCCATCACACGGCCTTTACCACCACAATTGCTACACTGTTTAACGTCCTTACTAGATTTAGCACCTGTTCCTCCACATCCATCACATGTTGCTAAATAAGAAACATCAATCTCACGTTTAACTCCAAAACTCGACTCTTCAAAGCTCAACCGCATATCATACCTAACATACATGTTCCTAACGGTCAGGAGACAAAGGTTGTTCCCCTATTCTCAAGTAAAGAAAACACATTGCGCAAAAAGACTAGGCATAGCAAAAGGGACAACCTGAATCTGTAATATCATATAGCTAACTATCACCCAGGGGATGCAGTAATAATCAAATGCTACTTCGTGAAATCGTAAAGTTGCTAAATCAACCACATATCATACCTAATATACATGTTCCCAAAGGTCAGGAGACAAGATGACTTCCCCCATAATAGTAGTATAGACTAAGTGTTTTGCCCGCACTTGCGGGCCTAAACATTTTATAATTATTTTACTAATATACTTTTACTAATTGAAAGATTATAATGATAAATTATTATTTATGTTTTTTTAAACCAATAATATTCATATTTTCATTTAAACATTCTTACATATATTTCTTTGTATATTATTTTCACTATTAAAAATAAATCTTAAAATCAAATAATATTTTCAATTATATAAAACTAAGAAGTTTAATTGATTAATATTTAGTTATGTATATTCTATTTTTTATTAAAATATATGTGTATATAACAACACAATATATATAGGAATTATCTTATTTAAATACATATTATTTAGATTTGGATAGTTCTGATTATTATTAGTTTTAATTACTTATCTAATTACAATAATTAAATTCATTTTTAATTTGTATGTAATTTATATATTTTATTCATTAAGGGTATAAACGATATTAACCAGTGTAACTTTTAACGTGGGAGCTCCATTGCGAAAAATCACTTAAATGCGGACATGCGGACTTAATTATATTTAAGTTAATTTAAAAAATCATCAAAATAAATGATTATTTGCATCCAAATAATTCGACCTAAAATATTAAAAAAATTACATTGATAAAGTTTT